CACAGTGAAAAAGTTTTGGCGGACCTGTACAGACCAAGTGGTCATGCTAACAGATGAAGGCCAGATGGACTACGCCAATGAACCTCAACCTTTTGCAATGAACCAGTCTGAGACTATGTTCTGGTACGTAGCAGGCCTAATTCTCTCGCGGAATATTATGGAAAAAGCAAGACCTGGAGTGGATTCCAATTCAAAAGCAAAAGAAAAAGAAGCGTGCAAATATGAGTATATGTATGCTGTTGTCATTCCGCTAGGAGAAGTTTCACAATGCCAGTTGTTGGGCAGGAAAAGGTTTCAAATACTGCAGTCAAGTGGCAACTATCTTTTAAGGTTACATTATGGTATTCGGAAGGCAATAGTGTTGCATGATTGCGAGGTAAGCTTTAAGGGCGAGCCGTGCACGAAGGAGACATCCGGATGCGTCATACATTCCGGAAAGATTGACGAAGGAGGGTCCCATTTCATTTTGGGAACTGGCGAAGGATTCCCTCCTAGGAAAGGTTAACCAATGCATGCAGGTAGTAGCCGTATTCACTACTATGCAAAATTAAACGATACCTTAGTTACAATGGCGATGCGCCCAATGTTCTGCAGTCTCATCCGCGTATATGTTTGACTGCAAAATGTTACCTATTCCTACAAACCACAATTTATACAAAACCCCAGCGTTAGAAGGACTGGTGCCCCTGGACGCAGACCGAGGAAGTGATCAATGCTGCTTGTGTTCTGGTACCACCGGGCTGGAAAAGAGAGCTCTCTATAGGTCACATTAACACGTAATTTGGGAGAAAAGGGGTACATATTTGGTGCAACAGAACAGAACCATGCGCAAAAATTGCGCTGTGGTCCGATTTGCATTCTGTCTTCGCGAATCTCTTAGAAGGGATCTTCTGTACAATCTCTCGAATATTCATTGCCATTGGCTGTGTAGACGGGGTTCAGAATTGGGATTCATTGTGGTGCGTTCGAGCTCTTTTGAGCATGTAACGGTCAATTGGACCGCCGATGAATTTAATCAAATTTCAAAAGAATTGGGCTGACATTGAACAGCAAAGCAAAAGCCTCAGTTTCCGTCTCTAGAAAGTCTTCTCTAGTGCTGATGTCCACCAACATCACTCCCTTCTCCGTTATTGCAACTTTCAAAGACCCACTTTTGCACATCCTCTCCGCTACATCGGCCATTATCTCTACAGCACTCACATTGTTGGCTTGGTAAGTGGGACTTACTACCTCCTCCTTCTATGCTACGTTTCACCAATCAACGTGCAACAGCTCTAAGTCGCAGAACAGTATGGTGCATTGATATCATCGTCAAAGATGCTGTGATCGATGCAGTAATTGTCCTTGGTGTCCGGCGTGCACCCTGCCTTAAGGCAGGGTGCATGACGGACACACAGGACATTAAATTTCAACTATACGGGCGGGTGAAGCACAATTGTGCAGCACAATTGTGCTTCACTCGCCGGTATATTTGAAAGTAAATCCCGGAACTACTTTCACCACAAAACGGTACACTCAACCGGGCAGCCCGCATCATCAAAACCATTGCATCCATTGCGTCCACTGCATCCTCATCTTCCCGTCCCCTTCCCACATTCCCGCTTCCTCCATTCCGCTTCAAGTCTCTACTCAGTCCCTTCACAGCTTCCTCGTATTGCCAAACACGGCCTCTCTGTATCACTATCTTCACCCATCGCTCACTCAAAAACAGTCTCTTCAGCTCCTCTACACACCCGGCCTCTTTCAGAGCACTATATATGTTCTCGAAAACGTACTCCTCCCGTCCGCTCTTGCTTTCTCCGTCTCCCCCCTCACTCATTGCAAGCAACCCTCCTCCTGCCCTGCACGCCCGACATTACTGTCAGGCTAAACGAAATTGTCAACAGCGATCCAGAGGTTATGCCTAGGCATGCATGGAAGCTTTTGCTTGAGCATTTAGAGCAAGAAGAAAGCTCTCTTCCGCCTGACTTCCCGTCAGAGGCCTCTATCAAAGCGAAGCTATCAAATCCAAAGACGAAAAGGTGTCTCGAACATCGAAATCCCTGATACTGTATCGATCGGTTATTCGAAATACTTAAAAGCTGTGCAACAAATGACCATGGTCATATGCCACCAACAGAAAACCGAAAATGCTCAATCTATTTAAATATTCCTACTCAGCGTGCTCAGAGCTTTGTATACGTATGTGGAATGTAGGGGTATCATGTTTCCGCAATTTTGTGAGTGACGGATTGACCAAAATCAGCCATCTTTGTGCCCCTTTTCTCCCAAATTGCGTGTTAAATGTAAATGTGCGCACTCGCGTGGTCCCAGCGCGCAGCGAGTACTCGAAATGCGGACAATTGCCAGGAGCACCTCAAGGTGCACCTGGTCAAAACGTTACGATGAACATGTTCAGCGTAACGTTTTCACCGAGCTAGCTGCCTAGCTAGGCATGTAGACATGTGCGGCAAATATGTACGATTTTGGGCGAAAAAATGTCGCATTTCAATTGGCAGCTAAACTGTTCCCCATTCGAAATTCCCTCGTTGTCATTGGCTGGGTGCCCATTTCGGGGCACAACCATTATCGTAATGGAACTTACTGTAATATCCTACGATTCGTAATACTGGGCCCAGTACAAAATCACTAACACGGGACAGGTCTCTGGTATCAACAAAGCTGAGGTGCAGTGTCCGAAAAACGCACGCTTTCGGACATGTCCGAAAGCGCGTGTTTTTCACTTCTCTGAAGTTCGAACTTCATTTGCCTTTATACAACCTGCAGCAATCGCTGCAGGTTGTATAAAGGCATCATGAGTCGCGACTGGTGAGAACCTCACGCGCGAGCGACATCACCCAAGGGTCAGTCTACAGACTTTGACGCTCCGCAGGCCGTGGCCGTGGCCACAAGAAAGCTCTGCAGGTTCGTTCTATTTTTTTCTACTCGCTTCGGATCCGCTCTCTTTTGTGTGAAACTGACCATTATTTCGTATTTTTAATGTATCTTACAAGTAAGAAGACGATGAACACTACCTGGTACGTTGTCTTACAAACTAACCGTCCTTTTCAGTTATATTCATCCCATGTTTGCCAGGCAGGGCCCAGAACGGAAGGGGATTTCGGCTGTAGTAGCGACCCGGAGTCTATCTGTAGGTGCTCTTTTATCTTGAAGTACATAGGTCAAATAGATCTACAGTGAAATTACTATCGAAAATCTAAACGTTCCAATGCGCAATTGCCCATGATCTTTATCGACCACTCGAAGTATTACTCGCGCGTTCGTTGCGCAGTCTAAAGGAAGAACGCTTAATTGTACATTGGCGTACAGCACAGTAATAAACGTCGATAGGCGAGGTTGCCTGGAGTAGTGCAAAGACGAGAAGAAGGACCACCAGGGGCGGCGTATACATACGGAATAGAAATTCGTATGAGACGGTAGCTCAGTAGGAATGGGCAGACCGACTGGAGCGGTAGCACAGTAGGAAACTGAAGAATGACTGAGGCGGTAGCAGACCAGACAAGGCAGACCGCCTGACGCGGAAAAGTTCGACTCAGCACACACCGTCTGCAGAGGTATGGAACGTGCAACGGAAGACCAACTCCGAAGTACTCAGTTTACAACTCTGACAAACATATTTGGTAATCAATCCTGGGATTACACGCCATGTTTCTAGGTGGTCCTGCAGTCTAACGCATTGACATCTAATGAAAGTTTCTCGAAAGATGCCATGACACCTGCGGCGCACCGTGGCGCGCACTTATCTCACCCCGTACGAACTACCATAATTCACCGGCCACGTACCGCCGCCAGCAGTTCTAAATTTGGAATATTATTACTACCACAGGAGTTTTTTTGAATTTTATTTTTGGCGGTAAAATTGACCTTATCACGGGGTTAAAAGTGTAAACTTTTAGGGGTAAAATCCAATTTCTTATTGGTCACGTGACCAATAAGGAATTGGATTTTACCCCCTCAGGCGGTCATGTTTTAGTTATCATAAGACCTCGTTAGAGACCTCCGGAAATTTCTAAAATGTACCTTGCAGTGCCGTGCGACCAGTTTGTGAATAGATTTTTCAAAAAACCGTTCGGTCTACACAGGATGAGCTCCTGATGATCAGCGGCATGACGCAGGAAAACTCTGCTTTTAAGATAAAGCGTGCTGTGGCGGGTTATCGCGCGTTGACTCCAGAGATTTCCCGAGAGGTATTTTATGAGTCTGAATTATGGCCAATGAATTTTAGGTTTCTTGACCGAATTGCGCCTAGTAAGGCGCGTGATAACCTCAAAGAACCTTTGTGCAATAGTGTGAACACGCGAAGTAGTCGGGCAGTTCGTGATTCTCATTTGGAAGAGGTTAGAAATGAATCGCGCACCTTGTGTGAGATTGAGCCCATTCTCGCATACACAGAAATGTTGCTAGACAGAATTCGGCAATTATCAAACGGCCCTAGCTCGGCCAGTAATACACTAGCAGAGATGCAGGTACTGTAGAACAATGAGTTCAAAGTGAAAAGGTTGCTTGATACGCAAGTCTCTCCACCCAAGCTTGCAAAGACTTCACAACGTGGACGTTAAGTCAATGCACCCATGGCTGGAGCACAGCGTCTTCAAGCAAGGTCAGAAAAAGGGACCCCAAAGCGAAGACGTGAGAATGTCTTCAATTCTGAAAACGCCATTGAACAGAGCAATCCGATACCTATCAAAGGGACCACGTTTGAAGGGAACAAAGAAAACCGTTGTCGAGGTGAAAACAGTTTTTGCGCAAAGGCTGATTGACTTAAAGGGGGACTTTCTGGATGATATTCCAATTGCGTCATGGCGCCATTTCCGAAGAAGTGGCAATATCGGCGGGCAAGGTGTGTTGAAGACGAGAGCGCTGAAGTGGCAGCCTCAGGCCTCGTCGGTTTGTCTCACTATCGATAAGAGTGCTCAGCTCCCTGTCAAGAATTGACCCCCTTTCCCATTTTCCCTCTGTTGACGAGCTCAGGAATGGCAAAAAAATGTTGGTCTGATTGGTAAAAACGTTGATTTTTGCATTTCTGGAAAGTGTCTAGGATTGAACCAGTGAGAACGGTACAGTATTTCCATCTTGTTCTCCCTTCATACATATGAAACGAGTGAGTTTTCAGGAACCGATGCCAGCGTGGTCTTGCTGATACAGCCAGACTGTGTCTTTCTGATACAGCCAGACTGTGTCTTTCTTTCTGGCTGAGCAAATGTCCGAATGAACGCTATTCATCACAAAGGATCTGGGGAATGTCGACTGCAGACTGTGAGCACCTTGATTCGTAGCGGTGCGCAAGGCTAGTTTTGACTTTGGAGTTGAATGCTTCTTTGAAATGTACAGAAAGCAACTGTGGCGTCCAAGAGTTTTCAAGGTCTCAGCGCTTCTCATAATAGCATTTTTACCAGTTCTCACGCATGCTTGGTGGGACGACAAGTGCTCCGAAGATGGCCAGTGCGCCACAATGTTTAAGAGCTTTGAGAGTCTGATCAGGGGTGTCGGTTGTCATTCGTTCTACTACACTGGCAAATGTTCTCGAATATGCACATTCTCGTTGAAATCGCTCATCGGACGGCCGACGTGGGCAAAATGTGCGGATCATTGTGACTGGCCCAAGGCTATCACCAGCAGTATTTCATCGTGGTTAGAGATGTGTCTGGCAAATCCTGCTCCGGACGTTTTCGAGTCGGATGATTCTGAGAGCGCTCAAAACCCTTCTGATAGCCGAGATTCTGGACCAAAGCCGGGCAGCGAACCCCATACAGAATCTAAGCGCAAGCGCTTCAAGCTTTTCGAGTTTTCTTTCTTCCACATTCTCGTCTTCTTGTGTTTTGTCACATCCTGTGCACTGATGTACATTTCGGGACCGAGGAAGGAAGAGTTGTTCCAAAGGGTGGTGAAGGGCATGCGATTCATTAAGAATCGGTTCATGAAGTCGCCACGTCGAAAAACAGCGGGCAGAGGACCTCTAGATAATGCACCCGACCGACGAGAGTTGCGTGACCTACAGAGAGGGGCTAGGCGACATTTGAAAGCCCTCCGAGCTACGATTGATTGATTATCAGTTGTCCAGGAAATAGACGACATTAAGGTCTCCGATTTCAGGACTTTGCCAAAAAACGAGACGATTCGATAATCGGCGACCTTCGGCATGGTCTGTTGCGTCTAAGACGGAGATTCGGCTAGACAGGCGTTTGTGTTGCCCTTCGTTACATCAATTGGATTGTATGCGTCGCGGAGCTTAGGAGGCAGAAGCTCCACCTGCTAGTTCGGACCAAGGAATGCGGAGTGCCGGACCAGATTCCGGTCAGAATTCCCACGTGTCTTGTTACTAGTATTACTGTCTATCCTCGTGGTGTGACGTGAAAATGTACGCGGACTTAATACAAGTACAGTATTGCTGACTCGGTTCAATGAGGCGCTTTATGCAGTCTTTTCAGGTCTTCGTGGCCGAAAGAGAGACCGTTTCGAGTGCGTGTTGAAAATGAAGCGTCTAACACCTAAAATACCACACCAGAGAAGTAACAAAGCAGCAAAGGCACCGAGCAACCCAGTCACTGATCCGATGCCTTCCTCCTCCTGGCCTAGGCGGCGATTGCTGCGGGGACCAGAAGGTGCACCTGCCCCCGCATTGGCATCGGCTGCATTCTCCGTTTCTCTATCTGCAAATAACCATGAAAGCAGACCAGGTCTCCCATTTAATAAGCGTAGGTTCCTTCCTCTCTGTTCAATTGGTATTTGATTCCCGGCATGCAGCCAGTTGTCGCCCGCCACATGGTCATCGTTTTCGGCGCTCTCTGGATCGGGAATTCCTCGAGCAAGTCTGTCGGCACGTCTGGCCATTGCTTCCGCCGCAGACAAAGATGCGTTTTGCTCAGCGGAATCAAGTCCTACCGAGCTTTCCAAAGTCATCCAGTTATGCACCGCGGTTGAAAAATTAAAAACAGCCTGAGCCCAGTTCTCCACAACACGTTCGTAGGCTTCTTTGGTGACAGGATTATGCCTGCGAAAGCAATCTCCTTGGACGGCTTTCGGAGAGTTGTAGACGTGCCATGTGTGTACGAATGGGATTTGCAGGCTGTGCATGTAATCTGCAGCCGTGCCGCATTTCGTATGTCCTGAAGCATTCCACAAACTCCCACTCTTACAGCTCCTGCAATGACTGGCGGTGATGCCCTCCACTACTTTAAGCAGACGGGACTGGTCAGCGTCTTGCACTTCCTCTGGATGACAGTCGCCAGGAGTTGTCAGAGCGACTGCGCCAGTGCGTAAAGAAACGTAGCTGGCAGGCCGAAACTTCTCAACAATAGCCTTGAGAGCACGCGTTTCGGCCTCAGAGAATGGATGTGTGCCTATTGCGAATGGCGCATAGTTGGAATGTTCCGATTCCGAGTCTGGTCTGGGTTCCTTGCCGTGACGTCTAGTATCATGATGAGACAAGGCGCGCTGTGACATTGAAACACCCAGCACGCGTCCGGCGTCACGTAAGGCTGCGACGCGTCGGGTCTCTTGTCGCTCTGTTTCGCGGACTCGAGCCGATTCGTTCCAGTGTACAGGCCAGTTGCGGTCCAAGTCGACGTCATTTGCATTCGTGCGCTCGCACCGTCGGCCCATCTCGGCGATACGCCTTCCATTAGGGTTGACCACGGGAACGAGAATTAGTTCGATGTCGGACAAAGCGCTCGGCAGGGCACGCGAAGCATTGGCTGCGCACGTAGCTTCGACGACGCGGAGTGCAATCTCTGAAGTGAGAAAATCGCGGCCAGTCTCGCCGAAGACAAACATAATGCGAGTCTTGCGGCGGCGTCTTATAATGCGACCGGCGAGCTCGGCCGGGGATGCCCGGTGAGTTATGGTGATGTAGCGAATAGAGTCAGCATCATCGGTGACAGAGGTACGTTGGTCGACTCTGAAGTGTTGAGCTGATTCAGTTAGTGAGGGGGCGCGGACAATGAGATGAGAGGCGGACTTGCATGATTCGACGACGGTGCTTAGGCGGGAGTAAAGGTCGTTTGTGCGGTGATAGACATTCCAGTCTGGAACGGCAAAGCGGAGAGGTATTGCGGCTCTGTCTTTTCGGACTTCGCCTGCCGCTTGGAGCAGTCCTTCAAACGCAAGGGCGTGAAGTGACAAGACGAGGCATAGCAAAAGCTTGAATGGGTGTACAAGAGGCATGCGTGATTCTAAGGTAGCCATGGGGCCTACGAGCGGGTTGGGATCTTTTCCATTTCGTATAAAAACGGTGACAGATGCAGACACAGTCGTTGGCAAGCTGGCGTCAGACAGCAGTATGTTATATGCTGTACAATGCTTTTGAAGTTGTTGATGATGGGAGGGGAGGGCATGTTTGGGTCAGAGACAGAGGTCTTTAGTTGCCCCGCTGGAGAGGAACTGATGATTATCATTCCAACTGCTAACGTTTCGAATGTCGCACATGTACACGTGGACAATTTGTGAAGGTTCACACGTGTCACCGCTGTATGTGGGGTGGATCAAATGCGTTCTCCCGCCAAAACTGTGGATCATCATTCGTTCTCTCCTTTTACCTCAACCGTCATTTGGCATTGTTGGGGGCCCCAATTCTATCAGGATGCAACGCTTTCTGTGTTTTGGATGAACGCCGAGAAGGAAAGCCCTACGCACAGAGCATTTGGGGGTGCCGCTCGTGTTCAGTATCGCCACGGGTTGCCAGCGCCAGCACGAGCTAAATTCTTTCGCAACCTTGAGAGCCATGTTCCGCGAAATATCGTTTCAAAGAGCGTTCGTTCGTTCTTTTGGTTTCACACTGCCATATTTGACCGTCGTCCATTCTTGAACTTACTTTGACTACAAGAGCCCACCATGGATTCTCAATCCGCACCGCTTTTGCAAGATGAAAACGAATTCATATCTCGCTTGCTCGCCACAGAATGCAACTCTACCACCGCCGAACAAAGGATTAAGGCATTAAGCTCCGATGCGCTTCGAAAAGTCCTAGCGACCCTGTCATCCCAATCACAACGCAGCCGCACCATTGAACTTTTGCGCTTTGTTTGGGCCTGCCAAGCTCTTCGACCCACTGTTCTCTCCGTTCTTTGCTGCTCGGCCGAGCAGAGTGATCTTTCCAGTCAACCTCTGTTGAATGAAGTCGAAGTCTTGCTTGGAGCCGATGCTAGGGACGGCTCGCAGAGTCCAGAGGAGCGCATTCAAATGGTCTCGAGATGTGCGACAGCTGTTTGTCTGCGTATGCACCGCAAGAGTACTCCTGCAGCCATCTCTCTCCTCGTGTTTTGTGCCCATGCCGCCGCTCAAGTTCACACGCAGCGAAGTCGTGCAGTCCAAAGCCGAATTATCAGATACATTCTTAGCTCTTTCGAGAGCCCCACGAACCTCCGCGTTAGCCCTATTCTTGCAATGCTCAACACAGATATTCGTTTGAGCGAGTTCGAAGACGTTGCTTTCATGCGCGCGCTCGACTCGTTTGTTTCGCGGCACTGTACCGATCGCGATGTGCCGGCAGTCTTCCAAGCCGTCGTCTCAAGGTTAGGCCGGGTGACGTCTGCTCGTCAAACTTCCACTCTTGGGGTTATTGCTCTGCACTTGCTGAGCAAAACATCACCTTGTAGTCTTTCGAATGCTCTGGATGTGCTTTCCACTCTCATCATGGACTCTGAGGTTGTGGCAAGCAGGCTTGTTGATGCACTTTCACATCTAGTACAGCTTCAGACTACGGGGGAGACACTCACATGCACGCAACCGAAAGTTGGTCCACCGCACGTGTCGCTAATACTTTCTCTTCTCAGCTCAACAGCATCGCAAAGCGTTGAAAAACGGATTCATGACATCTTTGAAAGAATCGCAACTCCAGGTGTTGTCCGCTTTGACAACTCTCAGGTGCCCTCATCATCTGCTGCTACGTCTGAGCCTCCCTTTGTTTCTGCGTTGAGGTTTATTGCCAGGAAACAAATACCAGCTGTTTGGGCACACGGCGAGACGCTTGCATGTGTTTTCGAAGGCCAAGTGTGGAGTGAGCAAGAATCTATTCGATCCTGCGGCATGCGAATGCTTTTTGAAGTGTTTTTGTTAGTCCCTCGAAGCAGGAAAAAGATATTGAGAGCTATTCTTGTCGCTCTAACGAATGAGGATACTCCGCAACTAGTGACCGATGCATTCTGTCACTTGCTGGAACAAATATGCGGGGCGCGGGAGACTGCCATTCATCTGCGTGCCTATGCATTGGATTTGCACGCGTTACTTAACTTTGCGGATGCCATACCTATGCGCGCGGATTGGAGGGTTGTTACGGCTATAGCAAGACTATCAGTTGACAATCCGCAGCAGTCTGACCGCGTGATATCATTCTTGCGAAAGGCTGCGGGCTCCAGGCTTTTGAAACTCCAGCGCATTGCTGGCGCTGGCTTTCTTGCGCTGATTGAACATGACGCAATACCCGAAGAAACACGAGAGGAGGTGCTTATTGCTTTTGCGGATATCCTCGCACTCTCAGAGACTCCTTTGAGAAACTATCTCATTCAAATGATGCTTGAATACGTGGATAGAAATGGTAGCCATCCACCTCGTATTCGAGCGATTGCCGATATAGTTGTGCAGCACGTGCGTAACTCTTCGATGGAGTGTTCCTTTTGCGATCGAAAATCGATGCAAGCGGCAACTGGGAAAGGAACTGAAAAGCCCGTTGCTTTTGGTCAATCGACGTTTCTTGAACCACACTTCGGACTATGCTGTAGCGGCTTCGATGCTGCACTTCTTATGAGACTGTGTCGAAGGATTGGAGCTCATCATTCACCATTAGCGAGCTTTTATTGGGACTTTGGCGAATATTTATGTGATGTCAAACAGGTCCTCAAAGACATATATTCGAAACCGGAGAAACAGGGTTCAACGATTGACAGGGTTACAAAAGTATGTGAATTGTATCAAACTAGGATTTGTAGCGATACTAGTCGATCAAGTGAACGCTATTTGTCAGGCTATGCAGTATGTCTGCTCATTCGCGCTGTTGAGGAATCGAACAATCGCTCTGAAACGTCATCCCGCCACAATAAGAGATACGCGAGAAGCAATGGCTCATTTGCAGTTCTAGGATCTGTGTCAGCACGAGAAGCTGTAGCCATGGGACTGTCTGAAGCTTTCAAAAACAACATCACCGGTGCCGTGTCATTCAAGGAGTGTATAGAAGGAATGCGATGGCTGGCGAATGCCAGTGCAAATGTCCTGCTTAGACGAATTCTGTTTCGCGAATTCATGTCCATTGTTGGCAGTAGGATAAGACAACCGGCCTTGCTACCACGATTGACCTTGGAGGAAACTGAAACGTTTGCAGGCCTCATCAAGAATTGGTTTATTTCCACTTCTCCATGGGCAACGACTGAATCGGAACATAGCCCAGAGTCTCCTTGCTCTGCGAATGCGCACACGAGGGCAGAAGACTGGCAAGCTACTCTGTTGTCATCAAAGAAGCAGTCGTCCTTCAGTGCCCATCCATGGGATTGCAAAGAATGTGTCGATGTGGCAACACACATCTTATCCGAAGCGGGCATTGCCGAAATCCAATCAGCCTGGGACTCTGAGACTGCTGTCTCACAACTTACAAAGCTTTCAACGTCTCTGCGACTGTCAATACGATCATCATGTATGACACTTCTTATCAGGACGATACAAGACTGGAGCCCCGCCGACCGACTTGCGTTGCTGCATAGTATCCTGCAAGCGGCTAGACCACTAGAAATTGTTGAAGCGGCAAGCGATTCGACAAATCACGCACAAGGGAGCGGAAAGCAAACCGACTCCGAATTTGATACTTCGGAATGCAATCCAGCTGTCAAGGAAATCCACTCTAAGGATATGGATTGCAACTCCCAAGTAAATGGTAGCCACTCGCCGGAAGGTTTGAAGATTCTGCAGTCGACCACTGTTCTCTCCAGAGTGTTTCGCTTGGAATTTCAACACGGTATTAGTGTAGCCCTCACCCTTTCTTACTTCGATTTGTTTATTTGGCTGCGAAAAGAGGCGGGGGACGACTGCGAAAGTGAAAAGCAGACAAGGGCGATTATCGTCTCAACCATGAGCGGGCTCCTGCGTGACTTTTCTATCCGGCAGTCAACGGTGCTTCGACGAATGTTGTCATTGCTATTGGATTGCTTTGATGTTTTGCAAGGAATAGAATTTGCGACAGTCGTCGTTCGCTGTTTGAGGGACGGGATCGCTCTTGACGATCGCCGCGGAGAGGTCATAGGTACCATTGGGACCCAAGATTTCGATGCCGATATCATAGAAGAAGCGATCAATTTGGATATCGAAATGCGAGGGATTGACAACACCAATGTCTGCCGTCCCAAACATCAAGATGCAGGTCATCTCTCTCTAACAAACAAACAGAATTTAGGTTCAGAGCAAGACGAAGCAGGCCCTGACACCGACTCAATTAGAACGCTCTGCCTCGGCGAAACAGAAGACAATGCCGTCATGTCCATCTTTTGTGTGTTGGAGTACCTTAGTCGCACGGTTCGACACGTCCTCGAGCGCCGAAGACGGACAAAATCAAAGTCATATGTTCCCCCTGAAAGCGAATTAACTTCAACGCGAGGTGTCGTGGGTGCTCTTAGAGAGCTGTTTGTCGCGCCGTTCATGAGATTTTCAGTTCCTAAGACAAATCAGACCATGTTGCTGTTGTGGAGACGTTTGGGTGTCATCATGCAGAGTCTCACGGAATTCGTCGAAATCCAGATACGGCTGCTACCAACACACATGTGTGCGCAACAAGAACCGGGACATCCATTTCGCGGGCTCCTCGACCTTGTGCAGGATGTGTTGAAACTGCTTTTCGAGGAGGGCCACCTAAAGTGGACTTTGTCCTCGCCGCAACTCATCGAACAACGACCACGGAGTGTGTTATTGCAAGAAAGACTAGACGCCACAGCCACCGCTTTTGTCCTCTGCCATGAGATCGAAGCATCCCCTAGTCTGACGGGGATTCTACTCTTGCTCCAAGAGCGCGTGAAAGATATCGGTTCCCTAAAGCGCAATGCGAATGAAAAATCTAAGAATTGGGTTGGTGTTCACGTGCGACCTGATTTTCAGTCGAGGCCGAAAAAGAGAGCGCACTTCAGGTCCCGTAATAGATACGTCGACGGATGGCTACGGGAGGAAAACGGAGATGACAACTATGTGGACCTGGAGGATTTTATTGTTCCTCTTGAGGGCGATACAACCTGATTTCAGATTTAAATTAACTGTATAGTAAGCTTGAGGAAATGCTGATGTCACTTGGCTTGAGCCAGTACACTTGTTTATCATTGTATTTCCAAAAATGGGTGCAACCTCTGACTTATTTTGTCTTCGGCGAGAAGTACTGAGTCTTTGAAACAACATGCATTTGATACCCCATACGCCAGAGCGAACGTTGCCGAAGGCGTGAGAAAGATCGTGAGAGAGAAGGTGAGATTGCAGCGCATCGCGAAAGTGCCGATATTGGAGTTTTTTCCAAGATCTTCGAGATGCCGTGCAGAAGACATTCTTGACAGACACTTCGCATGTGAACATGTCCTCTCCACGGCAGTCGAACACTCTAACATCCAAGAAGAAATTCCACTACCGGCACTCCTGCAATGGTCCGCGTCCGCGCCTTCCCTCTTACGATCTTTCTGTCTACCGAATCGGTGACTACAGTATTCAGTGTATTGCTGAGTTGAAAGACGAAATTTCGATGGAAAGCGACAAATTTTAACTGAAGAGTAGAGTCTCACAAGGTAATACTTCGGAGATCGATTCTGCATCTCACAGTCACGTTTTGTCATTCCGTCCCCTCTGTTCGCCCGGACTTGAAGCAATCAAGTTCTCGCAGCAGGTTACGCGATGCCAGAGTGTTCCTCTCTCTCTCTTTGACCGGTTCTACCCGGTCTCGTTGTTGGCGCAGTTGCGTCATTCGATCCGCCCTGGCATTCCTACTCCTTTTGCGGCCAGCTGCGTTCGCGCACCGCTCAGCCGCTGCAGTTGTTCGTCGGGGTCGGACGCCCCTGTCCTTTCCCACACCCAAGACCGCCACCGCACATATCTCAGCATGCTCTTCGCTCCGATGTTCCCCACTGTCGACACACCTTCCATTACCACAGCTACTTAGCACACACAAGTGTCACGGTACCCCCAAGAATGATAGCTTCGAGCCTTTTCTGGCAGCTCTTCGTCGTACAGCCTTTGTCCTTGTGTTCTCTTTCCTTTCTCAAATTATCGCCGTGGCGGTACCGCTACTTTGCTCTTTCAAGTTTCACGAAACATCCTTCGCATGTCGAACGGTGACAGCCCCTCGGAGTTTGGCCAGTCGGAGCAGCTTGGCATTTGTTGTACATAATTACCCTTCACCATCACGAGAGGCGACAAGCTTTTCATCTACCCGCGCGCCGTCTCAGGTATCGTTCATTCCGCCGAAGACGAGCGCAACCGATCCTGAAGTAGCTGCCAAACCTGTCAGGCGTAGTCTGGTCAGTGTCGCAGCGGTGATGTTTGTCATTGGTGCAGCGCTCGCCGCCGCAGAGACGGCGATTACTACTTTATGGCCGTGGAAGGTTCGTGAACTGGCTGACAAAGAAGGGAGATCATCTCCCTTTGCAGTCCTTGAATCCGACCTCACCCGTTTTCTCACGACAATACTTGTGACTACCACAAGCGCCACTGTGTTATCTACAGCTATAGCCACTGAAGTTGCTGGTGACTTTTTCGGTCCAGCTGCCGTAGGGTATGTCACTGCGGGCATGACTGTGTTTTTTCTGTTCTTCGGTGAAATATTGCCGAAAGCTCTTGCCGTTCATGCACCAGCGAAGGTGGCGCGAGTTATGGTCCCTGTCATCAGTATGCTTTCTATTATCGTTTATCCTGTTGGAAAACTTCTCGCATGGTTGTCGACGCAAATACTACGCGCATTCAAACTACCCATGGAGAACGATGCAAAGGTAAGTGAAGAGGAGCTGCGCCTGATTGTTGCTGGCGCTGGTCGCTCAGGCAGTATCGAGAAATACGAGTCTCAGATTATTCACAACGTGCTCGACTTGGAGGAGACCGATGTCCGAAACGTCATGTGTCCCAGAGTTGACGTCGTTGCGTTACCGGTTACCAGCACTTTGACTGAGCTGCTGGAATTAGAGTCTGAATCTCACTACTCACGGATGCCTGTTTTCGAGGATACGATTGATAATATCGTGGGGGTGGCAATGTTAAAATCGCTGTTACGCTACTTGCGAGAAGACGCATCCCTTTTACCCACGACCAAAGTATCAGAGATAATGGACCCAGCTTTCTTTGTGCCTGAATCAATGTCTGTGTGGATTGTTCTCGAAGAAATGAGAAAACGAAGGCTCCACATGGCCATTGTTGTAGATGAATACGGTGGGACTGCTGGTTTGGTTACTCTCGAAGATATCCTGGAAGAAGTAGTGGGGGAGATTTACGATGAAGATGATGACTACGAGGCAGAGGCACAGTTTATTAAGAAAAAGCAAGACGGAAATTTCCTTGTGGAGGGCCAAGCGGACCTTGAAAAAGTGGACCAGGCACTAGGTATGCATCTGGATGAAGACGACTTGGGCGATTACGGAACGATATCAGGCTTCCTCTGTGCGCGCATGGGGGGTATTCCCGAGGTGGGCGACCTGTGGGTATTCAATCATGTCAGGTTCGTCGTCGTTGACGCGGACGATCGCAGGATCCTTGGCTTGCGAGCGGAGATGCTGTCTCCGGAAGAGATGGCGGAGAGCCCGGAAAGCCATAAATCTCATGAAGAGGCGAACGTTGAGACATTCTTTGGGCAGTACACGGATATAGAAAACGGACTTGGCGGTGAGCGGAGCAGCTCAAGACCCAATGATCGATTTTCTAAGCCTGCGGAAAATGGAACTGCAAAAGGGGGGTCAACCAAGTGTTCTCGAAACGACGGCAGCGTGGATTCCGAGCCGAGAAAAGTAAACGGTGGACAGGATTCGGCGGATGCGTCTGGGAGGGATCCTCGCGAGCCGTAAAGTGTGAATGTTGAGCGCGAGAAAGTTGGAGTGGGGCCGCTATGTTCAGTGCTCTAGTCCTCTCGTAAGCGTCTCATAAAAATTGATACGCGGTTGACGTAGTTTTGGTCCCCAACCGAAGCACCCAACATGCTGCTGGTCACAGAAGTTTGGGACGCATTCAACAACAGGCTTACAACTACTCACAGAAGAAGCACCCAATGTAAATATCGATTTGCGTCACGCAGGGTTGCAAAATGACGGCAAAACCGTGTTTGAAAACTGCCGGCACTGCCAGTGTTGAAGCTACAAGTGACCTCAGATGCGGTCACTTGCAATTTGATTTTTATGTTTCTTGAAATGAAGGGGAATGGGGTACCCTTGGGACCGGAACTGAGTGATGCGTTGCGGCAGACCTCATCTCGACGAACAGTATGCGTCCTTCGCAGTCACTTTGTTAGCAAGCCTGGCAAAGAAGCACGACAGATTAGGCTCCGTTGCAACGTTGTTTCTTTGATATCTTCGAAATCAAAATACTGCGTACAATTTACAAAACACAGCGACTCGCTGTTGAGGTATGATTGAACGGCTGGTCCCAACGATGCGCAGGTTACTATTGTCTAGGGCAATGTGCAGGCTAAGCAAAGGGAAGGTTTCAAGCGCTAGTGTCTATTGGACCGTTGTCCTCATACGAGGACACTATTCCACCTATTTTATTCTTGACTTGTGCTTCCTCGACAAGAAAGAAAAAGATACCCCCGCCACCGTACTTTCTCCGACTTCTGAGTTGGGGGACAGAAAGAACTTTATGAGAATTGCACGTTCTTCCTATCGTTCGATTTCATTTATATTTTTTTGCAAAAAATCGTTTTTGCACATTGGCAATAAACAGTTAGATGGAAAAGGGACTCAGTGCATTGCCGATTGAGTTTGCAACTGTGGCTGGATGGAGTTTGGTGAAACTGAATTTGACTGTTGTGGGTCTTTTCTAATTCTAACCGAATCATTATGTCGGCACAGAGTTCCAAGCCGCCATATGGCAGGAATAATCAAAGCGCGCCATACACGTGTGAAGATTTTGTTCAAATATCTTATTTTCTGACTAAACAACGTCGCCCTGCTCTAGCTAGCCCAGATGCTCTAGCTAGCCTCTAGAGTAGAGCGTCCAAACCAAACGTCTACGGTACTTGCGGTTGACAACAGTTCGAAATACTGTAATGCTGTAATGTCTTCTCGGCGGCAGGTAGACGGCAGAGGGTCTGTCTCACCACCATGTCCAGCCTTCTGTTATGGTACAGTATTTGCCATGGTGAGTCTCTCGCCTCCGCCTTGTCGGTGGAATATTCATGTCACACAGTAAAAAAACGACTCATCGTACATGCTCGACGCAAACAAGCCCGCCTCTCCCTGACAACATTTCCAACTTGTCCCCCGCATCTCGATCCCCCCTCTCAGCCGCCATTCGATACAATCTCTCAGCCTCCCTCGCATCAGCTTGCACGTCCACGTCCCCATTCTCCAACAGCTCACCCAAGTTGTACATCGCCCGCGCATCCCCCTTCTCCACCGCCTGGCGATACAACGCGACGGCAGCCGGGGCGTCCTTCTGCACTCCCTCTGCCCCTTGCTCCAACAGCACGCCCAGATTGTTCATCGACCTCACATTACCCCGCTTGACGGCCTCGCGATACCACACAACAGCCCTCGGCAAATCCCGCTTCAAACCGGGCGACCCCTTCTCCAGCAACTCTGCCCAACTATTCATTGACTTAACATACCCTTTCTCCGCCGCCTTCTGAAACCACACACGCGCGCGCGGCAAGTCCCTGCGCACCCCTTTATCTCCCTTTCTCAACATGACGCCCAGGTTGTGCATCGAAGCCACACACCCCTTCTCCGCTGCCTGCCGATACAACTCCGCCGCCTCCAGCGCATTGGGCCTTGTCTTCCACCTCATTCCCTTCTTCCACCCCTTGGCCATCAGCAGCGCGAGGTTATGCGTAGCATTGACGCTCCCCTTCGCCGCGGCCTTCCGATACAACTTGACGGCCGCATCGCAGTCCTTCTGCACGCCGTCTCCCCTTAACAGAATGCCTGCCAAATTCGTGACGGCGTCCACATTCCCATTGTCTGCGGCGTGTCGATACCACTCCGCGGCGGCCTTGACGTCCTTACCCGCGCCCAACTCGCCGGTCTCGAGCAGCAGCGCGAGCGTGACCATGGCGGGCACGTGTCCGAGGTGCGCAGCGGTGGTGTACAAGCCGACGGCGGCCTCGCCCGAGCCCCTGTGCGCGAAAATGCAGGCGAGGCGCGCCACGGCCGGGGCGTGGCCGCGCTGGCCCGCCAGCGCGTACAGCACGGCGGCCTCG